AGTGAGAATTGGACCCTGAGCACAGTGTTTAAGCTCTGGACTATTCTGTGCCAAAGAGCTCTGGTAGCACAGTGGTTACAAATCTGGCAGCTAACCTCAGGGTCAGCAATTCGAAACTACCAGTTGTTCCGCAGTAGAAAGATGAGGCTTTCTGCTCCCGTAAAGATTTACAGACTCGGAAACCCTGTACAGGGTCGTTGTGAATCGGAACTGACTCCACAGCACATAACAACAGTTCTGTGCCATCAAGTGGGCTGCGACGCATGGCAGAGAAGAAGTGTCCCATGATGGTGGTGGTGGTGGTGGTTATGTGCCGTGGAGTCGGTTCCAACTCATAGCGACCCTGTACAGGGTTTCCGAGGTTGTAAATCTTTACGGGAGCAGAACGCCTCATCTTTCTCCCAAGGAATAGCTGGTAGTTTTGAACTGCTGACCTTGAGGTTAGCAGCCCGAATCATAACCACTATGCTACCAGAGCTCCTTAGAAGTGCCCCATAGGATTTTTAATTTATGTTTTTAAGTTTTTAAAAATTATTTATTTAGCATTTAATTGTGAATTGGGTGAAGATTTACAGAGCAAATTAATTTCCATTCAACAATTCATAGATATTTTTATTTCATGTCATTGATTACAACCCCCATAATGTAACATCTAGCTCTTTCTCCCAATCCACTGGGTCGGTTCAAACTGCCAATCTTTAGCTTAACAGTCAAATGCTTAGTCATTGTGCCACCAGGACTCCTTAGAAAGTGGGGGGAAGGGGTAAGTGGTGAATGTTTGACTTTTATAAGTTACATCTGACCTACTTTTCCCAAGGACATTCGTGCTGGGTTTTCTCTTCTGAAAAATTCAGTGTATTCTAAGAATGCACATCACTGTTGTTATCAAGTCGATTCTGACTCATGATCGAACTTCACATGGGATTTTCTTGGCTACTGTGGTGCTGTAGAATAAGCAATGCTGACCACGTGGAAGCAGCAGTCAAGAGATCAGACTATGTATTGCACTGGGCAAATCTGCTGCACAGGAACT